GCGGCACATCGTTCAAATGCAGTGCTAGGTATGAGAATGGCGGCATACAATTTGTTTTGCCTTTGACTCACCATCTTGTGATGAGCTCACATCACGAGCTGTGTCACTTAACACAGGACAACAAAAAGTGTAATTCTTCATAGTGTTCAACTATCTGTACCGATCAACACGTTGACGGAAGTCCCACCTTGCACACCTCGTGGGACATTGTGACGCGGTAACGCGTCCCACCCAAGTCATCCCTTTTTCTTGCGCTTGCACGACTTATTCCTAAGGTCTTTGTACTCATTCTATAGGCCATACATTCAGGGTCAACCGTCCGTTGGACAAAGTCCAACGAGGGGGGGGGGGGTCGTATTCGGCCGACGAAAAGGGGGTCGTATTCGCAAGGTCGGAGGCAGCGTCAATCCTACACCAACGGGGGTCGTAGTGTGACGCTTTACGCTTTGTGAGTGCTAAGAAAAAAATTTGCCGTTTCACTGTTGATATATGTACATGCATACCCCCGCTCGACGGCTATTTTGGAGGAAATGTGGGTGGAGTTGGGCTGTGTCAACTGGTCTCAGAATCAAATACTATAGTAACAGCTGGGGGGGGGGGTCGTATCGAGGCCCTCCAGAAGGGGAGGGTCGTAAAATTTTTGAAATTTGTCCAACGTGACGGTTGTCCCTGCATACATTGCCATACTCAAAAACCACATGGCTCAGAAGAAGGCCAAATATTCTTTAGTTTGGCAGAGGTTTTCCAGACCTTACGGATATGTCTGTTCAGTTCATTCCTCGTTTTCTTTTCATTAACGTAAACATGTTGATAAAAAGGAATAATAGAAGCGAATACAAACCTATTCGTATGGGAAGATATGTGTTTTTCACTGAAACACGTCCAAATTAATTTTGAAACTACGAAAGAAAAAGTAAGTACCCTCGCCTTCAAATGACCAGAAATTGTGCAATTGCAGAAATTGACGTGGCATTAACGTGGCATCGATTCAAGAACATCTTTGAGCACACGTGATGTCACCTTTTCATCGAGAATTTAGCCACGTGTGCCAATGCCACGTCAATTTCTGCAATTGCACAATTTCTGGTCATTTGAAGGCGAGGGTAAAATTCCCCTTTTCTGGCCTCAACTCGTCATTTCGGTCGAACTTCCATTACTGTAACTCCCGATAAGTTAGACAGATCGAACATTATTGAAAACATTTCATCGCATCTAAGTATTGCGTATTTACAGCTCAAAATCCATGGATTTGGTGTGCGGCGGCGGCGCTCGCAAAATCGCTCTGGTCCCACGCGGTGCAAAAACCCAAAACGCGCGATGTCGTCAACGTGTTAACATCGGAGTATAAAAGGCGAGCGGCGCAGCCTTGCTTCATATCCCATTATTCTAGTGAGACTTGCAACTTGAATTGTGGACAAAAACAACTGCTAGCAATAAAAAGCAGCCCAAATTAATACCCTCTTTATGTTACTACCGAATAAGTATCGTTGACAGCAACACTTTGTGATTCCTTAGTGGTTCACGCCCATCCATTTCGACCGCATCCCTACGGCCACTTACTGCGGAATGGAACCCTGCGAAACAAGGCAGTTGTCTATAATTTCCCTTTTTTCAGATGGTTACTCCGATGATACCCGTCTTCCTGTGCTACTAGTCGGTGACCAAACTAAAGTCATCGGTGTCAACGAGATTTCGCGATACGTCGCCACGCGTTTACGTGAGTTTAGGCCCTCGTTCCTATCGGAGTCAATGTGCGTTGCGTGGTTCTCAGCGGGAGCCGTATTTGTGTTTTCTTGTTTGAGGGGTCGTATTTGGGGCTTGAAGATCAAAGCAATGAAGTTCTGGAAGTTGAAGTGGTCGTGGTGGCGAGTGAGGGTGGTCGCGTCTGACTGCTTTTTTACCTTTTTGACAAGAAGTTACCCCTCCGATGATGAGTTACCGTGATTGAACGTCATCGCCCCCTCCTAGGTCTCCTAGGGGCTGGGTCGTCTCTTCACAGGAGGGGGATGGGTCGTGAAATTTTTGGGATTGGAACGGGGGTTGCTTTGAGATATAATTGCAAGGTTCTGTACGCAGTTGATCGCCGGCACGTTGAATCTACAGTGAAGCCACATTTCCGTGTAAGCACTACCAAAATTGATTTTGAATTTTTCTCCTGAGATCTAGGGGGAGACGTGCGTTTCTCCTCCTGGGGTCAGGTCACCACAGTTGCGCGATCATTGAAGCTTAAGGTTAAGTTTGGGTTTAGACTTAGGTTAAGGCTTATGCTTACACATTGGCTTATGCCTAAGCCTATGATTGGGCCTAGGCTTAGTCCTAAGCTTGCTCCGAGCGAATGAACGGCGTCTCAATTTTAGGTGACCTGACCCCAGGAGGAGAAACGCTACGCACCCCATCTAGGTTATCGTTCTTGAAGCAGAATTACTGCTGCAATTATCGCAGAATTTGTTCCGAAAAAAGAATATAGCACCGGATTTGTACCTTGCTCGAAAAGGTCTGTTATTTCGCAGTACAAAGTAAGAATTCAGATCTCTATGGGAAGAACGAGACAGAACGAAAAGCAATCGATGAAGTGCTCAGCAACTTGGAAGAACTGCACATCGGTGTTACGCCTATTATTCGAGCCACATTGACGAAAAATTACGAAGAACGGGTGAACACTTATTGCTTATTTATCGTAGCGTTTTTGTTAGTACGTTAAAATCTAGGCTCTGCATGATTTTTCTTTCTCGAAAAACTGTCCGAGACATTCAAAAGTACTTTCTCTGCTTTATAATACCGTACTCAAGAGACGAAAAATCTAGACCGCCAAAACGATCGCTGTTTTCGGCAGCTGCTACTCTTCGGTTGTCATAAGAAAAAAGCTGCCAAAAAGGAATTTCTTAAGAATCCGTCCTACTCAAGGGGCTTTCTTCCAACATACGTTTTCGCTCAATTCCAAACCATGTTCATGTTGCGCAACTTGGAGGTAATGAGGATATCAAAACGATTTTATTACTCCTTTTATTCCGAATCCGGTGTTCTTTCAAAATGGAATTAAGCTTGTAAATAGTGACGAAGTGATAATATTACTGATTGGTCGTGTTTCTAGTGTGTATTTTTATTTCAAAAGATTGCGTTGGGAACAATTGGTTCGCTATTCTCTGCCAACTTAATATTTATTTATTCCCTTATTATAGGAAACCTTTTTTCAGCAAGCTTTTTCCTAGTTTCCTTATGCAACTCTCTTAGTTAAAGGAGGATCCCACGATAAAGTCAAAGAGAAGGAAACATACCTAGTGAAAAGGCAGACGGCCCCTAAGGGTGCGGACCGACACACTACTTGCAGCGAAGGATATGCCGGCGACCTAGCATGGCCCTCCTCGCGGCGCTATTGACGCGGCACGCCCACCGACTGGCTAACCACTCGCCGCAGGTCTCTAGCCGTTAGCAGAGAGAGCGTTAGCGTTGAAGAGGGCAGCATCGATGAGAGTCGCATCAAGTGCGGAAACCAATTAGGAAGGAATGGGTCCCATTTCTTGGATCCGTCACCACTGACCACTGCTGACGGTCTACCTTGACTTAATGGGAGACGGTCAATTCAATCGTCGACTAATGAGGTCACGCCGCTCACGCGGACAGATGGTGCGGCGATTTTTGTATGGGCCTTGGCTTAACGGTCCTTGTCCATAAGTTGCTGGTGGGGTTAGAGAACTGATAAGACCAAAGTTCCAGACATCAGTGAGCCAACAAGAGTCACCTTAAGATCTCCGCAGTTATTTAAGCCTCACTGTACAGAGCTTGTGCCATGTAAAGGTTGTCCTTTTGAACATAATGAGACTTCTTTATAATCAACTGCCTCGAAAACGCTGTGGAACCGTGAGGAAGGCAATAACATTAGTATGACAGAATAAGTTTGTAAATAATGGCAAAGGACAAGGATCCTGTATTTTAAGGGGGCAGGTGATCATATACCGTGTTTCACGACTGGGAACTTCATCTAATCCTACATTCCCCAATGCTAGAACCCTGAATTCTAGCCACGGCCGACGTCGCATCGCGGGCTGCGGCGGCTGGCGCGGCGACCTAGCCATCGCCACGATTGAATCGTCACGCACCCTGACTTAATGGGCTGATTTTTCACCGTAAACTCAGCCTTCAAAAAAGATCCCACGATAAGGACAAGGTCGAAGAAGGGGAAATTTACCTAGTGGAGAGACAGGCGGACCTCCTAAGGGTGCGGACCGACACGCAATTCGCATCGAAGGATATGCCCGGCGATCTAGCATGGCCTTCCCCGCTACCAATTGGCGCGCTATTGGCCCAGCACGCCCCTCTTGCGTCGTTTCGTGTCTGAGTCTAACCGTTCAGCAGAGAAAGCGTTAGCGTTGAGAAGGCAGAGCCGGTGAGAGTCGCATCAATGCCCCTCTTTAATTAAATTTTGTGTTGTGTAAAATTATGACACTTCAAATGTAAACTTGCTTCCCTACTATATCATCGCTGTGAAAATTACGACGACAACAGTTGAATAAATAAATAAATAAATAAAGGCAATTGAAGCCGAGAGAAATGTGCAAGGAAAATAATATGTTGAAAGATGTTCACTTTCACGTTTGAAATTTGATTTTTCAGCGTGAGGTTTGGAACAATTTCAAGAACAATGCCCTCTCGCCATGCCTCGCAGAATACGAGCAAAAGCTCAAGGGAAAAAAGCACCTCGTTGGATCGAAGGTTACTTTTACAATAACAACAATAAAAGACTCATCGGAGAAATCAGGGCATTTCGAAATTCCTCTTTCAGATCTCGTTGGCTGACATCGCCACTGATTGAGATGCTGACGCGATTTCAGAGCTGCTATGACAGTTTCTACTTGGCGCATTTTCCTGTGCTGAAGCAGTTCTGTGAACGTTTCGAAACGCTACCGCATATGCGTCCTTACGTTCAGTCTCGACCAGACACCCATTTCTAGTACCTCCATGTCCATCGTTGAGCTGGCAACAGCAACAGAAATCAGGTCACATTTTCACGACATGACAACTTTCAAACTGCTTTCCAGAAAACAAACCGTGGGCGGGGTCGGAGAAGAAGGGGGAGGAAATAAAAATTTTGGCACTATTCACCTTTCACTGCTCCACTCCTAAAAAACTGAAACGAATTTTATCGAACTTTGTCCATTACTGTTTTGCGACTTGTCCTACTGTTGGATTTTGACGTTAGAAGTTGCCGGAGGATGTTTACATTACAAATGTAGGGTCTGTCGGGCAAGGGTGTCTTTTGGAAACGGTTTTAGTAAATGACGTGCTGTAGGGACGCATGTGTGGATCATAAAACCATGTTTCGTTTTCGCTGAACGGTTTTAGTACCAAAAATGTGGTGACTGATACCCTTGATGGTTCGATCCCCCGCGGCGACTAAATTTTGCAATCAAGGTTGGCGGCCACTTGTGGCTTAATGGTCTGTCTGAACTTACTCTGATTTGATATTTAGCGCGATTTGGCACCAAACCGTAGGCGCAACCCAAATGAAAATTTAGTCGCCACGGGGGATCGAACCCTTAACAGTACCTTATGCTTCTTTTTTGGTACTGCTATAACCGTTCAGCGAAAATGAAACATGGTTTCGCGTGCCCTACACGCCCTACGCACAAAACCATTTTGAAAAAGCGACCTGCCGTTGAAAGACTCCCTCGTTAGATGCGAACATACTAGATTGTCTCATCGTAGAACAATGTAAATCCCCGAATAGATTAACATATAAGATGAATAGAAAGTATAGAATCTAAAAAAATTTTGGACGAAATATTAGAAGACCATTCGTTAGCGCTGGAAGGCCGGGCCGCATGCTGTCGCAAAGGACACAAAACACCTTCGTACAAATTTGCTGGTCATCAGTGAAATGGATCATAGGCACCGGTTGGAACGATGTCATTTATTGTATGCTGCGAAGAAGACTGTTCTTGCGCACGGCGTGCTCGCCATTACATTGTGATCGCCTTACGCCAAGCTTTTTTCGCGTCACGCGTTCGATGGTTGGGGGATCTCACGTGTGAATTAATGATTCTTATGCCACCTAACCAGATTCACTTCAGCTTCCGCGCTAATTGCTCTGTGATCGGGCGCTATCTTTACGAGCTTGAACCTCGAACCGATTCACGTCTCCAACACGCGGGAATGGTGGATCAGCGTGCATTTTGTAGAGATCAGGTGTTTTGAACGACGAGCTCTCTTGCTTTTTTTTTTCTTTGACGCCTTTCTCGCAGCATACCACTCCGACCTGATGAGGTTAAGGCTTAGCTTCCCGTTCTCGAGACTTCTCTTGCTTCTTCGATTTCAGGTCGTTCCGCGCGATACGCTTCACACGAGCGTAGACCGTTACTGGGGTTTGACCGAGGTTTGCTTTTGACTGTAGGCATAATGTTCTACGGGATGCAGTACCACCGGAGACAGCTTTCTAGCAAAATCCCTATTCATGGACAATTTGTGATTGGAGCCCGCTCACTTCTCTCGAATCTTTAGGAGTGGGGAAGTGAAGGGTAAATAAGGTCAAAATCTTGTGGATACCGTCTGCTGTGCGTTTCTTTAGTTGTGAGAATCGGCTTAGATCTTTTAAAGGATCGTCCACGTAAAAAGCTCCGCTCATTACCTCAGAAACGATACCTTAAAGGAATCTTCCACGGAAAGAGTGATCATTTTGTCTTGTGTGTAGGATTAGTATTATCGAAACTAACTTTATGTTCCGTTCTTTTTGCTATGCTCATGAGGCTAGGGGCCTAAGGGGTATCGTTTTTCTAGGGTAATGGAGGCGGAGCTTTTTCCGCGGAAGATTCCTTTAAGATTGTTAATAATTTGTCAAATGTATAGTATACGAAGTTATTACGGAGATTGAATTGTGAAACTGTTTTGATCTAGTCATCTTCCACGTCAAAGTTGGTTCTATTTATATGAGTAGCGATGCCTTTTCTTTTTCGCACAATATCTTGTCTGTATGTCGATCGAGGCTCTGATGCTAGATAGCATTGTGTATGTAGTATTCAGAGTTGGATATGTAAGACGATTTTTCTTCTTCGAAAGCAGATTAAAGGCAAGTGACGTGGGAAATTGGGGTAGATGAAGAGCCCACTTTGGAACAAATATTGTGATCCCATGAATGCGAAAGGTGACGCTTCTGTGGGTAAGGCGCGAGCTCACAGCGGTCTGACAAAGCCTTCCCTGTCCCTTGACGCGGATGCATTATCGCTCTGATTTAAACGCTCTGGATTCGCAGCCGGTTAGATTTAGCTAGCTAATTTAGCTAAACATCGGACACTAGGTGACTTGACTCACCGGACGAAGTCTCTCTTCGATACCTTCGTCTCACGCCGCCCGGTTAATGGACTACTTGAACTCTAGCCTTAAACACTCTGCGCTCTCTCGCCGGTTTTTCCTTCCAAGACTTAAGTCCTGGGATCTCTCTCGTCTCTATCGTCTTGCTGCTCTGCCATCGCCCAGCAAGCGTCTGAAGAAATAATTAGTCCGTTAACCCTTAGCCGCCCATCTGATTGGCTACCCCAGCCGCCCATCCCTCGCAATTTGACTCCAGTCGTTGTAGCAAAAAGGCAGAACAGAGCTTCCGAGTTAAAGACGTTAATACCTAGTGAAATAAACGTGGAGAACAAGGGTCTCATTTACAGGTCTTAAGCCACTACTCGCAGTTTTGTTCTCGCAAACTTACCTTTAACTTCCATTTTCCATAGAGCGGCAACTTTTCGCCCTCACGCGGGTCTTAAAGGCTTTCTATCCGTACTTTTAACGATTGAGATATTTTGAGTATTTGAATATTCTGTGTTTTCCAAAGTATGCAGACGAGATTGATGGCTCAAGCAGAATTTCCCTGTCCAATTTATTCGAGGGCGGCATGGGCATTTTTCTAGAGAATGGTGATCGATGACACACTGTGTTATAGATTTTTTTTTTTATTGAAAAAAGAGAATCGAGAGATGCGTAGCGGTGAACCTATAAATTTGTCACAGTTTGCAATCGACTTTTTAATCTTCAGAAGCGAAATCCCTTTTTTGGGGCCAGCCGATGTACAAGTCAGTGTTTTTATCCTCCCAGACAAGTCTGGTACCAATTAACCGACCCCGGAGGGATGGAAGGCTTGGTTGGCCCGGGCGACTCACGACCAGGATTTGATCCCCGGACCGCTCGCGTGGTAAGCGCGCCACTTGCCACTACACCACTTCCGCCCCTGCTGCATGACGAAATATTGTCGAAACATCTTAGTAAATCCGATATTCTCTGCGATAGCATGTATAACGCAGGCGCATCCGCCGAGAATGCTTAACACTCCCGTAGTTTAAGTATTTCATTGAAATTTGTAATTTTATTGCTTCCATCAGAATATCAACATAATGGGTCATACAAGCGATAAAGTGTGATATGACAACTGGTCAGCATTAGGAAGAATCAAAACTAGGATTAAAGACTGTTACAGCGACCAAGTATATTACCGTATACATCGAACATGAGCGTTGGAAAGGGAACGAAGCATTCAAGGCCAATGGAAGCCACGACCGTGACCACCACCTCGGCCTCCGCGATTGCCGAAACCTCCGCGACTGCCGAAACCACCGCGACTGCCGGAACCACCACGGTAGCCGAGGCGGCCGCGAGCACAGCGGCCGAAAGGTGGCCAGTTTACGTAGCATGGGTCCGTCATAGAAGAATCAGAGCTAGCATACTCAGAATAAGGACAGGTAAAATGACGCTGAGGGCGTCGACAGGAATGGTCACGACTTCTGGAGCGTTCTGCCGAGCAAGATCGCCCGCCACGAGAATGGTTCCGGCTTCTGCATCTGGAGTGACTGCGAGAGCGGCGTCTACCATGTCGATTCCATGGTCGCCGGCCGACAGCGAGCTCATCACAGCTAGAGCAGGAAATCTCCTCGTCGTCACTATCGCAGGCGTAAAGACGAAGGGTCGATGAGTCCTGGGCAGCTCCCATCAAGATGTTGGCGTTGTCCATTCTCACCGGCTCGCCATCATCATCGATCCAAAACACGGTCTCGGCAGGGATGCCAAGTTCCCGCATCCTCTTCTTGAATTTTTCGAATAAATCGTGCTTGTCTTATAGGTGATAGTGAGTCGTGGGGCACGATTCATGTAGAGCTTCAAAGTGACGGTTTTGGGCTGGGAAGTGGGATCTTCAGGCATGGTTGCAGACAGAATGACTGACGGTTGGGCGGCCGTGGGCTTAAATAGCGGAGCAGAAATGACCGAGATGTTAGTTTCGAAAACCGGCAGGGGGTGGGGTAATGGCGAACGGCTGGCAATAACATTCACCTTCCATTTTCGAAAGTCTTTTCGCGATATCAAATGTTGTAGGGGTACGTTATCAGATGACACTGAGTGGAAATCAAAAATATTTGCGCGGTCCCAAAAGCAAACCTGCGTGGCTACTGTGCTTAACGGATCTCAAAGCGGATCAAGAGAAACCATCCGAGAATAAAGCTTAAATAGGGGAGAGCTCTTTTGAATAGACAACGCAGAACTTTACTCCTACTTACCAAACCTTTACCTACTTTTTTGTTCAACGAAAAAAGTGAAATTGTCCAGTGGTCATTTCTCCGAAAGGCCGAAGTGATATATTGGCAAGTGGCGCAGATACCACACGCACGACCAGGT